GGCTGAATGTAAATGTCTCCATCTAGGCACAAAGAATTTAGGCCATACGTAACATGCTGGGGGATGCGGTTCTGGGAAGCAGTGACTCTGAAAAAGATTTTGGGGGTCATGATGAATAATCAGCTGAACACGAACTCATGCTGTGGCCAAAAAAAGCTAAAGCTGGGATGCATAAAAAGGGGAATCTCAAGTCGGAGTACAGTGGTTATTTTACCTCTAAATCTGGCACTTGTGTGACTACTGTGGGAATACTGTGTCCAGTTCTAGTGCCCACAATTCAAAAAGGGTGTTGATAAATTGGAGAGGATATTGACAGAAGAGCCACAGTGATTAAAGGATTAGAAAACATGCCTTATAGTGGTAGAAGCAAAGAACTAAATCTATTTAGTTTAACAAACAGACAGTAAAAGGGTGCGTGATGGGGTTTACCTACCCTGCATTGGTTCAGCAGGGGTTAATCATACATTGTGGGCGGAGGAGGCCATGCCCCCCCATCTCTGCTGGGCATGCTTCAGCTGGAACCAGGATATGAAAGAGCCTCTCAGCTCAGTCAGGGATGACTGCGGAAGGGAGCAGAGGTGCATTGCAGGCTCCTGCAGAGAGACTGCCAGTGCTCCAGGATTCAGAGGCCAGCCGCACTGTGGCTGCAACTGACCCCCAGCCACCCAATGCCAGAGATGGAGGAGAGACCACAGAATCCCAGAGACTACCAGCTGCTGAAGAACGGGTGGGAAGTAGCCTAGGTGGACTAAGCACTGATCCAGTTGAGGTACCGGGCTTTGACTCGGCATGTTTGGGAAGGATCCCCGCTGAGTTGGAGACAGATACCGCTGTGGCAAGACAGGGCCCTGGGCTGGGACCTGTGGAATACGTAGGAGCCAGTGGAGAAGGGCTGGCCACTAGGCAACACTTCCCTGCCGCAAAAGGTGGTTCTATTGACTCTGGCCACTAGGCTGCATTGCCCTGCTGCCAAGGGCGGTTCCATTGACTCTGGCCACTAGGCCACACTGCCCTACTGCGAGAGGTGGTTCTTTGACTTTGGCCACTAGGCCGCACTGCCATACCCAGGAGGGCAGCCCTAGTGACTCGCACTGTTGGGCCTTGGACCCTCACCGAAGGACTGCTGCACTGATCCCGACCATTAGGCTACGCTGCCCTAGGAGCCAGGACTGCTGCGGTGGCTAGGGAGACTAGGCCAGTTGGGCCGTCCCAGATCTATTTCAATTCCTCCACAATCTGGTACCAACCTGACGGGGTGGACCTGTCCTGTGACAGGGTGACTTAATGACAGTCTATAATATCATACACGGGGGATTCATGTTTTATAATGGGCTCTTCAGTCTAGCAGAGAAAGGTGTAACTTGATCCAATGGCTAGAAACTGAAGCGAGACACATTCAGACTGGAAATATGGCGTACGTTTTTAATGGTGAGATAATTAACCATTAGAACCATTTACCAAGGGCCGAGGCGGATTCTCCCTCACTGACAGTTTTAAAATTGAGATTGGGATGTTTTTCTAAAAGCTCTGCTCTGGGAATTATTCTGGGCAAGGTCTATGGCTTGTGTTATACCGGAGGTCAGACTAGAGGATGGCAATAATCCGTTCCAGCCTTGGAATCTAGGAATCCCCTGAAGCTGCTTCAGTCACTACATATTGCTCCTGTGTGTGCCACCATCTGACTTCCACCCTCTGTTGCAGAGTCTGAGCCAGCTCTTGGAGGTCTCTTTTGAATATAAGATCCCTCTACCTAAAGAGAAGTTTCAAGCCATCTGCAGTGCTCTGCACAACCAGGTGAGGGGTGGTTTTGCTTGGATCCCTTGAGCTTAGGCCCAGCAGAGCTGAAGCATATTAACAATAAAAATCTATCGAATGATAGTGCAGAGCCGGGGCACCTCCTCATGCCTTACTGATTTCTGCAGGCTCAGGAGTAAGCAGGTAGCAGTCTCATTTTCTTAGCTAATATCCAGCTCAGTTTGTAAAGCAATTTCACCATAAGCCGATTATCAGGGGGAGTCAGAGTTGTCTAGTAAAAACTGAGGCTGTGTCTTGATTAGATCAGCTCTGCTGCTCAAAACCCTTTAGCTTCTCTTATCTAATGTATTGGTCATTGTGTTTGATTCTTGCTGTGCATTCAGTACCATCTACCTGGGGTTCAGACCTCGAGTTGGACAAGTAGGAAGTGGAAGCTTAGAAATTAATTGAACATTTTCTTTTCAATTGCTTCTGATTAATTTTTCTTTGACCATTTCCCGTCTTCCCCCGGATCTGTTTATTAGCTATGTTGTTCAGCCTGAAAAATTTCCCCTAGCTGCTCT